GTTATATTTTAGGTATCTTTTGTATCTTTTTCCTGTTCTTTGTTGTTCTTTTTTTAATTTTTACACGGTCATTTTAAAAATTATGTGGCATCTGTTTCTTTTATACCCTGTTCATTGAATAATACATAATGAAAACATAATAAAATACCAAACGAGATCAGAACGAACACATTGCTGTATCTGTGAGGTTAAACCTTCATGTGGGCAGCAGAGTTTTTTCATGCTTTATTGCACGCCTAAAGCACCGAAGTAAGCAATATTGCACGTTTAAATCTGAAGAGGGTAATTCAAGTAACAACCGTAAAAATAACCATATATTCTTGAGTATGGAACTTCTGTTTGACATTTTAGTGCCAATCTTTTGGTCTTCAGGGTTTATCTGAGCAAGGTCGTTGACTTCAAACCACTTGCCCCTTGCTGCTGTAGATTCGATTTCCACTTCCGCCCGGACTTTGGATTCTTTCATGAAAGGGGGCTATTCAGCTAGCTTACGAAATGTCGGTGGTTCTACTCAGTTCCCGTTCATGCATGAAATAATGCACGGATATGCACTTGAGGTCTTCCTCCATTAGTAAAACTGGAAAGTTGCCATATTACGTTACCTGTGTTGGTGCGGTGTTGCCCCTGCCCCCCCCCCCCATCCCAAAAAAAGCAAAAAAGAAAGAAAAAAAAACATAAAAAATATAATTAAGTTTTTGTTAATATATTGCTATCTTAATCAGATATTATTTATTTCACATTTGGAATTATTTTACATCAAGTGGTTAGTATCTCACTTCTTCTTATATAGTCAATCATTGTAAAGCACAATTTTAACCTTTCTACAGAATGAAAATAGTATTCATTTCTAAGACTTGATTTGCCTTTAAAATATAATAAATTGGCTTGAAAAGGGTGAAAGCAACATACCGAATTCCTAAAACCAAATCAAATTACTTCGTTGACCTTTTAAAAAAATAAGTAAATTTATAACAGTTAAACAACCGGATGCATTGATTTCATTGAACCGTAAATATTGTGGTCATTTAGACTCGATTACATTCGCAAAGGGTTAAGTCGAATAATATTTTCTAAAATCTTGGTTTGCATGAAATTGCCAGGACTCGTAACTGAAAAACAATGTCATATAGATAATCTAATTATCTACCCTCCCCCTCCAAAATATAAAAAAACAATAATACAATAAATAAATAAATAAATAAATATAAAAAGTAAAAAAAAAAAATAAAGTAAAAAGGTAAAAATTACGATAATTGGATATTACGATAATTGGATAAGTGGAAAATGCTCAACAAAAATGTTGATTTTGTCTTTCTGTGATACAATCTATTTTTTTACCTTGATAAGCATAATCTACACAAAGGCTGTGTAGGTAAATACATTTTCAGAAATTGGGAGGTGGGTGAGGGGCGTCTCAAAAGAAGTATTCCAGTTTTATTTTCTTTTTAATCGAGTTCTTTTTTTTTTCCTTTCTTTTTTAAATATATTTTGTTAAATGAACTCATATACATGTATATACAACAACATATTAACTGTTGGCACATAAATCCAATGATATTCTAAAGATCATATTTTAAATGCAAGCTCTACAAAAAAGCAACAACAATTATTTCCAAGCTAAGTAGGTGCTTGGAGAGCTGCAAAAATTACCAATGACCTTCTGTCAATTTTTTAGGTATCATCTGTCCTCTTCTTAAAATCGATTTTTTTCTAATTTAAAAGTAAATTCCGATTGTGGCAATTTACTGACACCCTATCTAAACATCCGGGATAATAGATTAATAGTACATATAAAATTAGCGAACCATTTTAACAGTGATTGATAATAGGTCTACATTTATCAAATAAACGCGTCATTATACTGAAAGTACAGACATTGGCTGAATGTAAATGACGAAACGCACATTATTTTTTTTCCGCTTTAAAACCGATCCTGATTCAACGAACAGAACTGTCGGGTTGTTGAATTTCTAAACGCACGTGAATTATCACGGTGTCTGTTCTGATATAGAAGAGGATTTATAAAACTAATACAAAAGACTGTTCCGGTGTGTCTGTGACCGAGTGGTTTAGGACGATGATTTCAAACCTATTGCCCCTCACCAACGTGGGTTCGAATCCCGATAAGAACTTTCGATTCTTTCATGTGAGGAATCTATCCAGCTAGCTTACGGAACGTCTGTGCCTGAAATAATGCACAGAAAGGCACATGGGGTTTTCCTGCACAAGTAAAGCTGAAACGTCGCCTATGTTGGTAAAACAAAATCAATCAATCAACAAAAGACGGTCAGGAAGTAAATTATATAAATTTTATGATTTTTATTCCTCGCTGGTGGGATCAACAGATGGGAGGTACTGTTTTTGTCCGTCTGTCCATCAGTCGACCGTCCGAATTATGTTTCTGTGCAATTTCTCGGCAATTACTGACTGGATTTCAATAAAACCCTGTGGGAGAATTCATTACTTAATGGAGAATATATAATTTGCATTTCCCGGTTGGACCATTCAAAAACCCAGAATTAGGCCTCGGAGTAGTTATGCAGTATGCTTATAGGGAGTAAAAAACTTTATGTTCACAATCAATACCAATAGGAGATGAGCATATCCTCAGCATGTTAACGGTCTCTCAACACATTGAAACACATTAAAATGACCTTGATCTTAAAGTTTCAATTATTAAATTTTGCTTAAATTGCTATAAATTTGTTATTGATTAATAGAAAGATCCGATTTATACTTGCGAAAAACAATATTAAGAAAAAAGTCAACATTTTGAATAATTTGAGTACGAACTTTTCGACTCAACATATTTGTACACTTGTTATGGTTAGTACTTACCTGAATCGGCATGGATGGGCTTAAAGTGTAACTTCGTGTATCATATTATTGTTCAAACCGACACTTAAACTTTAGGAGAAAACTTTTTCATGTATAGGTTATGATATTGTATGTAGTGGATAATCTAGGTTAGTATGTCATTATTTTCCTGAAAATGCAGCAAGTTTTTTTACACTGTATACACTAGCTGGTACGGTTTACCTAAATTTTTTTGTAGGACAGACTGGTGCTCCGCTGATTGATTGCACGTGAGCGTTTACTTGTCTTAATCTAAATACATTTTGTATCTATTTTGGTTGTAAAAACCTTTAACATTGAATGCACGTTCAACCTGATTTTGCAGATAAAAGGTTTAAAACATGAATTACAAACCATAACAACCCATATTGATCTTTAAAAAGGGTTTAAACTTATATAAACATACTTTAAACCTTCATGTTTTGTCAGATTATAAACAGAGTAAATAGGAAGGGGTGTACTTAAGAACATAGAAATTGATTTAATGTTAAAAGCCGTCCGATTATCAAGATTTTTTTTTCAAGATTTAATTATTCACTCAATACACAATACATGTAAATATGATTACAAATTTTAACGAGGTTAATAGTATGTAACTCACACATCTTACAATATTCTTTTAACAAAGATAGGACAAAGTTTAACATTAATACAAAATAAAACGAATTATTTCAAAAAATATTTATCAAAGTTTAATATGATTATTCAGTTCAATATTTTTCTAAGATTATTTTTATAAACATGCAAAGTTTTTTATATGTCACATAATTAGAGAGGTCAGTGTTCATTAATTTATCAAACTTTATTATATTTGGATTTATATTATCTCAACAGGAAGAACATTGAACAGTAAATCTGACGACCCGTGTTCGATTCCCGGTCGGCGCAGGTCACTGTCGGAATGATCACAAAATCCTTTCTATGGTCATTCGCACTGTACAGAACTGTACAGAAGTTATGAGTTCCTTGCCTAGTACTGGTAAACGGCTGGAACAATGCGGTTACTGGACTGTGCTCTGGTAAACTCTATGTGGCTTCCTGTCGTGTTCCGGATGGTAAACTACCAACACCACCTTTTAAGTTGTAATACTCTGTTTGTTTTCTGGACTGTTCATGTGAGGCAGTGAAAAGTCAAATTGCACATCCGGTTATAACGAGTCAGTTAGACTTCATCTCCCACTTCTCTTCATCAGAGCATTGGCTAAACCCGAATTTATAATATTTCTACAACATGATATCTAATTGTATATGTTTATAAGACGAAAATAGCCGGAGATATGTATACAATTTTCCAGCAATTAACATGTAGACCTAAAAAGGGGTACTAAATCGAAATAACTCCAAGAATATCTGGGCATCCCAGGCATTGTTTTATTTCTTAGAAATCCGAAATGTATCCCATCGTTCGACTTATATTATTAATGATATAAAATAATGATGAATTTCTCAGAATATATCATAGTACGATATTACGGTGCTATGAGGAACTTTAGACAACCATTGCTAGTTTTTTGGCAATACTTCCCACATGTATTTGTGCGGGTAGAACTTACAAGTGCCATTACTTTTGTAGAAAGACCGGTGTCTGTACGTGTATGTATATAGGCATGAGCGCAGGCACCTGGCAGCATATAGAATTACCGATATACAGGATTTCTTCCTCGTGAAGTGGGTTTCGAACCCCAAAGTTTATATGACCATATATTTATTTTATCTGATAATCATTTATCCATCAATTTTGTGTGTGAAATTTTTTTTTATATAGTGGGTCATTAAATTACAGCTGTAATTGTAGATATATTCTAGATGCTAAATATGAAATAATAAACCTCAGCTTTTTCACTTAGTGCATCTAAACTGCGTGGAAGGGTAATTCTTCCGTAGTGTTTACGCTATTTATTATTACACAATTACAGATACGTTAATATTTTCGGGACTTCCCCATTTTATTTTACACTCGTATACTAAAGTATTCAGTTGTAACACGTATCTCGTCGTAGCAGACGGATATTATATCGTTTAAACATTTTGGGAGGTGTAAATCCATTGCAGGTACGTAAACCTATGCATATACATGTATTTACTCTTCTTTTTATGTTTATTTTTGTTTCATTTATCCATCTAAAAAACTTGTTTTGATTGGGTAAATCAGTTATCTTATTTTATCAAGGTTTTGAACATGTAGCTTTCATTGTCTCTTATTTAAACGATATAAAGTGATATAGATAAAAATCGCGCCAGGTTAACCGCAAACCTTTCACGTTTATCGTCTATGTTTATTATATTCATGGGGTTACATGTAGTTAGCTTAAACCTGGGTATACTTTGTATTTTGTTGTGTTTTTCTGCAAATTAAAAGTGAAAATGAAGTGAAAGGAATGTTAACATGAAATGAAAATGGAAGAAAAAGGTACTGATTTTTCAAAGCTTTATTAAATTGATGTATGTCTAAACACGGACTTATATTATTGTAATATACATCCGTGGTCTAAAGACTTGTCCCGGATTTTTTTTACTAACTACAGCTTTTTCCCCGAGCGTTAAAGCGCAGTGATACAAAATGGTTGATAAAAAAAAGAAAGCACTTATGACGATAGAAATATATGTTTATATATGTATCTATATGGCAACGTTTGCGTTATAACTTTACAGCCCTTTCCGCCAATCTTGGGAAAAGAACCTCGAATACAATTGTAAGAATACACAAATTAAATAGTAATTTATTGCTAAAAGTTGTAGACTTAGTTAATTCCACTAAATCGAATTAAAGTCCATCTAAATTAAGTAAATGTATAGATATAAAAGTAAACAGTAAACAGTATTCATATAATTGAGTATTATCATTACGTTTGTACAAACCGAAAGCTTGTTGGCATTTATCTGCATTTGTTTATAATCATTTAAATTGATTATGATTGTCAGGAATATTTTCAATAATATTTTTACCAAAGTAGACTGAATGTCAAATATATACCTTCATTATACATTACCAAAGATTAAACTCTATGTTTTTGTTTACATCGAAAACCCACGTGGTAGAACTTCAGCTAATCCGAGGTTATCATGAATGATAGCCGAGGGTGTTCCGATTGAATGATTAAATGACAGTTTTATGAAGGAAAGGTTAGGGGGGCATATGTCAACCCCCGTTTTGACCATATATGATGACAGAAAAGGTCACCATGCAGTGTTGCTGATTTTCAGTGTAATGTTATGGAATAAATTGACACTGTCTCTTCGAATTTAAAATGAAATATATAACAAGCAATTTCAAATTATAATATGAGCCGTGTCATGACAATACCAACATAGTGGGTTTGCGACCAGCATGGATCCAGACCAGCCTGCGCATCCGCGCAGTCTGGTCAGGATCCATGCTGTTCGCTTACAAACCTTGTAACTCGTAGAGAAACTGATAGCGAACAGCATGGATCCTGATCAGACTACGCGGATGCGCAGGCTGATCTGGATCCATGCTGGTCGCAAACCCATTATGTTGGTTTTGTCATGACGCGGCTCAATTAATATTGTTTTTAAATGTTTTGATACGAAAATAATCATCCGGAATTTCAAATTCCGTACTTGATAGAGTATGTACCGGGTTTTATTGGCACAATCGATGATATCGGGCGCGAGGTGGGGAGCTTAGCAAGCAAAATATCTTGCACTGATGTGCCAGCTCTTTGTCAGGTTGCATAGATACATTCAGTTACCGAAAACAGGCTTAAGGTCTATGTGGTGATAATGTTTAAACCTTAGTGCGTGTGCATGTAGCTTGGTCTAATGTTCTGACTACATTGAAATTTTTTTTTAAAAAGTTAAAGTTTCCGCTATCCTCTTGGTTCAATTTACTGGTGCAATTTTTTTCGTTTTGTGTCGAGGTATCGATGACATACAGTCAGTGATAAAAATATCATATTACTGGCATGTGCCTTTAAAGAATTTGTTAAACTTCCCTTTCAAATATATAATATAATAATGTTTACATACGCTTAAAATCACTACTTATCTAACACGCAAAGTTAGTTCTCTTTTTAAACCGAAAACTTGTCCTTGAGAGTTAAACTCTCGCAGTCATATTGGAAATGTAATTCAACATTGTCTATACATGTATATATATATAGATAGCTGCCCTGCACTTTATCTTGCTTGTTACTTGATATTTTACGGTATGGCTTAAAGTAATGGATTTGCCTTGCATTGAATTTCAAACATTCTATTCAAAGTAGCATGAATTTCTGACAGTTTAGAGGCTGACCAGAGTGCACGGACGTTCAAGCTGGCGTGGTCTCTTTACTGGTGGCAAAGGTTGATATCATTTTCGGTAAATATAGTATCACATTTTAGGAAAATACGAAAGAGAAGAAAGCTGTTAATGTGTTACAATAACGGACCGTAAATAAACTCTAGAAAATAGTTTTATCATTATTGATGTCATCATCATCATCATCATCATCATCACACATCAACAACAAATACAACATTATCATCATCATCGACACCATAATTTTAGGCTTAACTTTTAGGCAAAATACGAAAGAAGCGATAAACTCTTGAAAATAGTTTCATCATCATCATCATTATCACCAATGTCATCATTATCAGCATCAACAACATTAACACCACCACCAGTGACAACAACAACAACATCATCATTATCATCAACGACGCCATCATAAAATCATCAATTTTATTCACAATCACCGGTCAAATCAAGTCAAGCCAAATACTTTAATTCACCCAGGTTACACATGAATATACAGCGGATAATACAAAAATGTTATTTGCAAAGGAGGGAATGTTCCGGTCGTGGAATCTAGAGTAAAATAATTTACTACAGGATACCCTTATGCTTTAATCAGATTTGATTAATTGCTCTATTTCTTGCTTTGATCCAATTGAGCAACAGTTTTGCATATTAAAGGAAAAGTGAATATCAGTTAAATACACAATACTTCAATATGCCTATATTTTTGAAAGTTCAGCATTTCTCATAATAATAATAATAATAATAATAATAATAATAATAATAATAATAATTGTATCTTTATTTAAAGAAGGCAATACATGAAGATATACCATCATTTAAAAATAACATATCTAACTTTTAGATTGGCCTTCTGAAAAATATATTGTATAGAATACAAACCAAAAATAACATTTAATAACTATTCCATAGAGTGAATTAAGATTTGGTCCTACAACAAACCTTATTTGAATAGTCTTGTGAATCATTAATATCATTCTTGCAATTTGAGCCGCGTCACGACAAAACCAACATAATGGGTTTGCGACCAGCATAGATCCAGACCAGCCTGCGCATCCGACCAACTCTATTACAAGTAGAGAAACTGACTGTTCGCTTACCAACTCTATTACAAGTAGAGAAACTGACTCAAATAATTGAACAAATATACATGCATAATAAATCTTACAATGTATAACATAAAGAAATAGTTATGAAGAAATTTATTTGATCTGCAAGATATATATTTTTATATTTATTTTAAAAAGATGTCAGAGAATTAGGTGATATGTAATGATGCATACCTCAATTTATAACCTGTATTTTCAGAAATCACTTGGGAGAAAGCCAAATAGTGATTCTAAATAGGTTTGAGAAATAACAACAGTCTGTTGCATGAGATAACGTGCAAATGCAACCAAAAATAAATAGAATTATGGAAATACAGATCTTAATTTCTGGAAACTGAAATTAAACCAAAAGACAAGGAAAAGCTTGAACTTAAATCAAATGGTCATAGAAGGGTTGGAAAAAGTCCATATTACAACAACAGTATGTTTTAAGTGACAAAAACTAAAAAAAAAAACAACTCGTTGATATAGATATATTTAAATGTGTTAAAAATCTTATGAATAAGAAACAAGAAGAATCAATGACGAAAAAGCGGCGATTGGAGAGAGAGATGTCACAATCGTCTGGAATAACAATTCTTTCAAATGTTACACAGACCACTGAATTATCTAGTGATTTAGAAGACAACAACTCTGATTCATCTTCTGTTAATCAGTTTGACGCTCTCAACGGCAACGCCCGAGTACAACAAATGGCGCCACCTTCCAGCAAAAGCAAAGAGTTCAAACAAAACGTGCTCAGAAGCAATTTGCTAGAAAACGCCAAGTTTCATGGAGCATTGATGATGATGACGAGACCTTTGAAAAGGAAGTAAGAGGACAATCCGACACGTCGGCACAGCAAATGAATCCTGGACAGTATGATAATAATTTTGCTGGAACGAACAACAGCCATCGAGCTACAGAGAGAGGTCTCGACACTTTTGCTCTTTCATACAATAAACAACCTTTTAACAAAACATGTGACCGAAATAATCGTATTTTTCAATCAAAACTGAGGAGCAACACAACCTCGCAAATTCACGGTCATGAGAACGAGATTCAGAGGCAAATACTATTAGACAAACTTGTCAGACGGAATGATGCTCAACAGCTTCAAAGCAGACGATCTCAGAGTGCGACATCTTTGCGCGTTAATAGTTTACAGAACCGGTCCGATAGTCATCTGTACGAGTCTCTTCAATCGCAAAATGCAGCACAAAATATGTTAAATAATAATCCTCCAGTACAAACAGTTGTACACATGACTTCAAATGATTCAAATTACTTACATCCGGTGACTGAAACACAAATTCACAGGAACAATTTAAGAAAGGCGGAAAACATGTTCGCGAATTCTGGCGATGAATCTTCCGCATATGCTGACGTCATGCGGCATAATGAACCTTTTAATGTAGGTCAAGGTCAGAAAAAATGTTATGACTTTTGCAACAATTCATTTTACCGGAAGGGGTTCTATATATTACTGATTTTCAATGTGATACTCATTCTGCTGAACACATTCGGACTGCCTTACGTCTATTTTGCCATAAATCAGGAAAAAGAAGTTAGTAAAGCCGCGAACCTGAACGAAGGAGGAGAGTTTGCCAGTGCAGTGCATTCCGAGTTCTGTGTGAAATGCGACAAACTAAATGAAGTGGTGAATTCTAGTGAAGTTTCCATCAAAGACGGACAGTGTTGTATTAAGTCGGCCGAAAAATTACTACCAATACTTCTGGAGGTGAGTTTATTTCCTTTTTTTCAACCTATGGCCTCAACATGCGCCGGTATAGTGAGCAAGTCAGGAAATCCAGGTAATATACTGTACGATATTTAAATAACGACTCTTCAAATTCAGCCAAAACATAAAATATTGTTTGTTTCCCGTTCCTATACCTACCCACAAAAATCTATAAAACTAAAAATAATAATAGGGGAGAATAGGGGAGAAAAGTCATCGAGAATCCTATCTTTTTTAACTCTCCATTGCAAATATACTAACTAGGTATAAAACTTCTAATATTTTGCTTCTTGACTGAACCAGTCAAATTTTCTTCTTTTTTTAAATCCATGTAATTCATATATGTTCATTTAATAGAATATTTTACCTACAGTACCTACATACTCTACCAAAAACTGGCCTTAAACAAAGATAATTTTAAGGCTGGCCTTGTATTCCTTTTCGAAATAGTAGATCCAATCAGTTAATGAAGAATGTTCATTTTCAGTACGTCATTCGAAACTTATCAATGCGATAATTTCAGTGTAAAGTCTTACAGTCTTATCTATATCATACATCCTATTAATTTGTAAATTAACTACTCTGTTTACCACTTGTTTTAAAACATTTACCACGTGTTTATCACAGACTCCTCTCAAAATTCTGAAAAAGGGGCGATCCCTGAAGCACTGAAACAACAAAATAACAAGAAAATTGTGAGTCTGTACATGACATAAAATGGCGTGCAATATTCGTCACGCCCCCTAGCACCTAATTGAGCGGTACTCAATTTTCAACACTTGACGTGCTGGAGTCAATGATCTCCTAGAAAGAAAAATATAGCAGGATGATTGATTATATGTTGGATTTATTGGTTTAAAACAATAATCACAATTAATTTATTTCTTATTACAGATTGTTGATGATTTAGCGCGTGTTCCGACACCAGGTATGTATTATGTAAAGAGTACTTACGGCATTAATTTATAACTGCCCCATGTTAATAAACACAGGGTAAATTTAGAACTATCCTTTGTAAATTACATGAATTTAGAGCTGTCCTTTATAAATCTAATAAGTATCGGTGTCAGAATGTTGAAAATATATGAGCCGCGTCACGACAAAATCAACGTAATGCGTTTGCGACCAGCATGGATCCAGACCAGCCTGCGCATCCGCGCAGTCTGATCAGGATCCATGGTGTTCGCTTTCAGTTTCTCTACTTGTAATAGGGTTTGTAGGCGCACATCATGGATCCTGATCAGACTGCTTGGATGCGAAGGCTGTTCTGGATCCATGCTGGTCGCAAACGCACTATGTTGGTTTTGTCATGACGCGGCTCATATATTATCCAAAAATATGTCGTCTTCTCCAATGACCGGTGTCGTTCTCTATTTTGAGTGTTAAATGTATCATAATTATGCATTTCAAACCTGTAATGTTTTAAAGATTTCATACTTTGGTTTTCAGAGAAAACAGCCAATGTTCCTGTCATTCAATTAAGAGCTGACAAGACAAGTAAGTTCATATGATTCCTTTTACTCGGTCATTTACCATATAAGTAAGTTTTATCACCTGTACTGTTCTAAAAAATATATACATTTTATGAGTTCTTGTACGAGAGAAAATATGAACCTATCAGGTTGGTTTAAAGGAGGTCGGTCGATGTATTAAGGTGTCATCTCTGACTGAAATAATGCATAAGAGGGCACCTGCGATTTTATTACATAGACACCGTTATATTATCGGTGTATCGGTATACATTATCGGTGTGTCTGTATACATTATCGATGTATTAATAAATGGGAATACATGTCTATGTACATCATTATTCTGCCTTTACACATAATCGGTATTTGTTGTCGGTATAAAATACATCTTCATCAAACAGATAAATATTGTTCTCTTTGATATAGATTAATACCATATTTATGTGACTGAATCACAAATATGATACAGATGTAAACACCACATGCTTGTATATACAAGTATTATTAGTTAAAATATATTAGATATGGGTGGTATAGCAACGTATTGACACAAGCGATGTTTGCCAAAATAATCTTGCCTATTCCGGCACTTTATGACCTAAACTGTGTGTGTGCGTCGTTAAACAAAACAAAACAAAACAAACAAAATTCGTGTAAATTGTAAACGTTCATCAACATTGGCGTATCTTTTTTTCTTGTCTATTTGTAGATAACAAATATCATCTAGATAACAAAAATCATCCAGAAATTATTTGGCAAAAAAGGCCAGATGTTGGGACCTTTGGCTCCACAGATAGAGAAGACGACGAAATAAAAGTTCCAAAGACTGGATACTATTATGTGTACAACCGAGTAAATTATAAATTACCAACATACGAAGGCCAGTCAAAAGAGTTTCCCATCATACATACAATCAATAAAAAAATAGGTGACAAGGAAAGTCAACTAGACGAAGTAGTTCAACGATGTTTTCCTACTAACACTACTGGTGACGTCATACATGCAAATCAGCATGGATCAATTCACCATTTAAAGAAAGGCGACAGACTTGTCATTACATTACATCATCCAAAATATTTTCTTCCTGAAAATACACTATTTGGAATGTTCATGGTAGCAACTTAGTTGCCTTAATTTCGACATACTTCGTATAAATTCGGCAAACTTCGCATTACTTTAGCAAACTTCGTATAACTTCGTAAAACTTCGATAAACTTCTTATAACATCGGCAAATTTCGTACAACTTCGGTATGTTTGATTCTTTTTAAAATGACACGGGTTTTTCTCTCTCACTGTCATTAAAACGTTTGTTTAATCTGTGTTTGTGCGGTATAACAGCATAGTATGTTTTCAGGTTTGTCTTGTTTTATATTGTAATTGAATGTGTATTGAATGATTTTTTAAAATAAAACGGCTGTGATACTTTTTATTTGTAAGAAATTTGACCTCAATCAACGCATTTATTTTTCATTTATTTCATATTTCATGTGAAGACTATTCAAAAGTCATTTCTTTTTTTTAAATTGTTCACAAATTTCATCCATACATATCTTTTGTGTAAAGTTTATGAATATTACATATTGCAGTCTGTTATATATGTTTTTTATGTATATAAAGGACATTTAATAGAGAAATATAAGCTTTTGATAATATTCAAAGCTTTGCTCGAACAAGTTTATTCACCTATTCTCATACAACTGTAAATATACATGTCATTAGATTTGTTAAAAACATTGTTTACCATGAATATCTTCAATATCAACATAAATGTACATGTATGATTATAATTATCATGAACAATGAACGTTTTATAACGCTCATTTAGATATTGTGTTCTTAATTTTATACATGTATCGTTTATAATCGGACACCCTCGACATTTTCCGTCTTAGTCCGGTTATATCAATAGTTTCATTATATTATTATTATTATTATTATTGTTTTTATTATTATTATTATTATTATTATAATTATTATTATTATTATTATAAAATCGAAGATACCAAAGGAATGACCCAAATGCGGCAGATCGGAAATGACGGAAATGGCGGGAAAATGTGTCATTGCTCAAAAGTCAAAATCATTTATAGGGCGCTTGTTATGTGCTGTCACGCATGTTTGCATATTTTATATCAATGTTATCTAGATCTAATCTAGGACAAGATGTCATAAGGTTATTAGGTCATGATAAATTTATTCAATAAAACTGATAATAAATAATATATACGACTTAATTGTTTACTTACACAAGTCATGTAGGCCTAATAATAAACACCAAACAGTAACCTACGCATATGGTTGAAATTTCATTGAATTTAGTCCCCGCAAAGTCTTAGATGCGAAAATGCGGAACATCTCTATTTGTTCCATTTTTTTTTAAGCTAACATTCAACTCAAAAGCCTATATATATAACTATTGCTGTTTTTTGTTGTTGTTTTTTCACATGATTAAGTACATTATCGGCTTTAAACGCCACTTTAATTCCATAAAGCGTGTAAGGTTCGAATACCGCCAGAGACACTGAATTTTGTCATGTAAGCAAGCTATCCAGATAGCTTACAGAAAATCGGTTAAGCCTCGGTCTCAATTACTCCCGGCAGAGCCCAGGACCATCCCGGTAAGTTACCGGGATGATCCGGGACGGTCCGGGATGAAATTATTGTTGCGGTCACACTTACCCCGGCAGCACTACGGTAGTTCCCTACTAACCACCCAGGATGCGCTCCGGATCATCCAGGCAGAGCCCAGGTGAAGCTACGGTTCATGCCGGTGCTTCCCCGGTCGTTCCCGGATGACGCCGGAAGAGCCCCGGTTGACCCAGGCAGAGCCCCGGTCGATCCAGGCAGAGCCCCGGCAGAGCCCAGGACGATCCAGGCAGAGCCCCGGTAGAACCCCGGTGGATTGAAAAACTCCCGAAAATGATAACATTGATACATAATTTTTATTTAATATAATATCTATTGTTCCAGAATAGTAATTCATGACGATTTTCTGAAAAATCCTTATGCAAGACTGGATAGAAGGGAAATGGGAAGGGTTTTAATACAAACAAGTGCAATCATCGCAAATTGTCGTTATTCTTTTGAAATGATCCGGGCTTTGCCGGGGCTCTACCGGGATCAACCGTAGCTCTACCTTTATCCCCCGGGGCTCTGCCTGTAGTTACCGGGGCTCTGCCGGCATATGCCGGGGCTCTACCGTAGCTCTGCCGTAGCTCTACCGGCTATATCATACCCCGGATCATCCCCGGTTTGTGCCGGCAGAGCTACGGTGCTTTCCCGGTATAACCCCGGTCGTTCCCGGCAGAGCTAAGGATGAAGCCGGCAAAGCTATACCTTCCCGGATCATCCCGGACCACCCCGGTGATATTAAATATTTTATTCCATCCGGGGTCGAATGCTGGATGTTCCCGGATCATCCAGGACGTTGCCGGCAGAGTTACGGATGTACCCCGGTTGTTCCCGGTCGTACCCCGGTCGTTCACGGATCACCCCGGACGTCTACCGGGGCTCTGCCGGGGCTCTGCCGGGATGTAAGTGAGACTGTAGCTTTAAGTACAAGCGGTCTGTCTCAACCAATAAAACTGGAAAGACGGTTTACAGTTTTGGATGCGACGTAAAACCCAAACAAAAAATCCAGTTGAATTTGTTATGTCGAATTATTGAAAACACTGTCTAAAACATATTCATTACCATTTACTATCAAGAAGGCTTAGAATTTGCAGGAAAAATTAAATTTGTTTACATGTTTTTTCAGGTAAGCAGACTGACATCCCCTTGTTGTTGTTGTTTCTTTTCTGTTATTCCCGGGGTAGAAACATTTTTGTCAACCTCACATAATGAGTCATGTTGGGGAATTGTTTAGAAGTTAAGCCAATAGTAAGCGCAGTCTATCAGCTTGGGACTTTTTTACGTGATATAATTATCAATATTTAGATCAGCAATCTTTAAACAATTACAGGGACATCTAAACTCCATATCATATATACAACACAGTACAAAACATATCAGCTGACGTAATTTATCAATTAAAAAAAAATAACAAGACGCAAAACCTTGACATACGGGTCATGCTTTTCAAAATAACATGCATTTAAATTTTGGCAAAATATATAGGTAGTTCTATCAGTGTCAAATATCTGGTAAACGAAGAAGAGGTATATTTACTACGTTGGTTTTTTGTTTTTGTTTTCGCGACACGAAGCATCGTGTTTTGTTGTAAAATTCATATAATGAGCCGCGTCATGACAAAACCAACATAATGAGTTTGCGACCAGCATGGATCCAGAACAGCCTGCGCATCCGCGCAGTCTGATCAGGATCCATGCTGTTCGCTATCAGTTGCTCTACTTGTAAAAGGGTTTGTAAGCGAACAGCACGGATCCTGATCAGACTGCGCGGATGCGCAGGCTGGTCTGGATCCGTGCTGGTCGCAAACCCATTAGTTGGTTTTGTCGTGACGCGGCTCATATGTTTTAAAGGCACAATATTCCTCAGAAAAGGTTTTAATTTTTATTTGATTTTTGATGTCCTGTTCTAGTTTCCAAACAGAAACTTAGTAACCATTTACCTGAACCGCATGTTGCTTCTGTTATTTTCTTGCAGTTTTAACAATTTCAGTGATTTAGTTATTTGTATGAAAGTCAAAATACTACTTTGTTTTCATTTTGCTATTATTATGACAGTGCTACTTTCTTAAAGTAATTAGTATATAACATACTCTATAATCATAATTTAAAAGTTATAAAACTCAGGTATGTTTTTAAAGAAGATTTCTTTTTCATTTCTGAGGCATTAATGGGCCTTTAAATCATAGAATAGAAATAAAGAAGTGATTTACGTACTTATATTTACACCGTTGGCCTTGAATCTTCCTTGTAAGTCTATTGAGATTGATAAAACCCTGCCAAAGTCGGTACACAATTATGCAAAATCATAGCGTTATTTAAAGGCTAGATCCCGTGCATTGGACGGGGTTTTATTGTGAATAAAATAAAGACGCTATCATGTTTTCAGAAATCAATTCAATAATAGATATTCAAAAGTGAACTAATTGTATGTATCTTTGTACTGCAATCAATCAGTAAGACAAACTGTAAATCAAATACAACCTTTATAAAGTCCTATTCATTGCATAGTTATACATCTATATTATAAGTGAAAAAACGTAGGCATACAAAATATATAAATCAAATGCAAAGCAGAAAAAAACGTGCATAAAAGAAAAATTCATTTGTGTTTATATAATAAAAAATAACATATGATTTTACAAATTTTAACTACAAGTACTTTTCTCCCCTTTTTTTCTTTTTTTGAATCTTGGGAATATAAAGGCCACGTAATTCGTGTGAAAAATTTAACAGTAAGACTATTAGAGAAGTACTGTTTTGGTGAATTAAACATATTAAATAGAAATATTATAAACTATTGTTATATATATATATATATATATATATATATATATATATATATATATATATATATATATATATATATATATATATATATATATATATATATATATATATATAATATATATATATATATATATATATATATATATATATATATATATATATATATATATATATATATATATATATTGATTTAATTTGAATGTTTGGTAAATGTTGTTACGTGAACATGCATGTACAGTTTATGAAGGTGCCTAAAGCTTGTCCCAGTTTTTTTTAAATCTTGATTAAATTTTGAAAAGTCATTAATAATGCTGCCAAGAGAAGTTACGCATTAAAGAAAATGTAACTTTATATAAAATCCCCGCTTTATAAGGTACAAGACAACTAATTATATCATCTTAAAGGGATAATTAGGCAAAATAATGACAAAACTATCAAAATGATTTTATGTACTCAAATCACGCTAAAATGACATTTCTTAAAGTTCCAACACGAATTTCTGTTTAAATTCTACATATATTGGGTTTGAAGCGTAAACATATCTATTTTATTGAACAAAATTTAGACGCCAATAAAATTACCGAATATTTTTAAAACAAGTCATGTCACTGTAATAAACCATTGAAGTTACAGTAAAAGATATTGTGGATATTGTAGGATTGAAACAAGTCTAAGTCATTCATTTGAAATGTTCTTTAACGTTTCCAGAGTTGAAAGTGACAACTTTTGTGAAATCCTAGTGCTCTAACCTGACCCACGCGGGTCAAGTTAGGAAACCACCATTTTATTTTTTATACGAAGAAAAGTTTTGTTCTTTTGACTGTCCAGTGTATTCACTTTTGGGGCATTAACACAATAATGAATGTAAAATCCAAAACAAAGAAATGAATATTTTGCCTGTGTCTCCCTTTAAATGATAGGCATAACATGGTTAGATTTTTTAGTAATATTATTACGGACAATTTTCACTGGATGCAAATTAAAAAATGGGATTATCTGCTGTGGTTATCTGACCATTTTCGAAAAAGGAAAACTGACTACCTATTATAACACTGCACATAATATGATATATAACATTAACAAGCTAATTATATAGATAAATATATAGAAAATAAATCCATAGCCTACTACTCGCAGTTGGTTCAAACAATACAAACGTTCTACTTATTGTTGTTAACTTTATGATATGGATTGCCATTTATTTATTTATGCCTGCCCGTTCGTTTATGCGTACGTTCTTGTGATGTGTCACACGAAGCTCTAAAATGCTTGAGCTAGAGTCGACTTAATTTACAGGAATGTTGATCAGCATGTGAGGGTTTCGCTTGTGGATTAATTCGATATTTGTAGAGTTATTGTCTCAACTTGTGTCGTGCGTACCCTAAAACGTGTTTGGAGACGTGAAAGAGACGTGAAACTTTACAGGGATGTTGATCAGCATGTGCAGTTGTGCTGCTGGGGGGGGGGCTTGATTGTGTTTTTTTTAGTATTTGTAGAGTTGTTTCCCAGACTTATAATGACTTAGTCAAACTTTGCAATTTTCAACTTGTGTCGCTGGTACCCAAAAATTATTTGACCTAAACTTTACATAATGTTTGTCAAAATGTATAGTTGTGCATCGAAGGTTTTGCTTGTATATTTATTCACAATTTGTTGAGTGATTGCTATTAATTTTGTAAAAATCGTGCCAAAATGTTATGTCATTTGTACCTCTAAAAGTACTTGAGCAAGAATAAAAAAACTTACATGAATGTTGATGAACATGTGAAGTTTGCCCTGCTGTTTTGCTTGTGAATTTTATTTTCTGTTATTTGAGTTATTGCCCTTGACTTAGTTTGAATTTTTAATTTACCCGTGTACAGAGCGTAACATCACATGCATGGAGGATCCGAATATAACTCGGGACAAATGTTTTCCATAGTGAGACTGAATGTCACGCGAAAAATTCAGGTGTCTGTGGTAAAGATCAAGGTCACACTTAGGGGTCAAAGGTCAAATAACAAAATTAAACATTCATTTGATATTATAACTTCTATATACATGAATGGATTTGAATATCACTTTGCACAAATGTTCTCAATGTTGAATTGAGTTGTCCCGCGCAAAATAAAGGCAAACGTCACAAGAGGTCAAAGGTCAAATAAAAAAAATATAATTTGGTTGTCAGAACTGTATCTTGCTTATGCTTTGAAGTATTTATATGCTTAGTGGTCAGAGATTTTTCTTTAGTCAAGCTCGCTTGCGCTGAGCCATTCCCCCTTCTAATTAATTAAGGTATAAAAAGGGTGCAAAATGTGCAGACACATGAGTCAATTTGTCGGTTACTTATGGTGGCATATTTCTGCCACCAGATAAGCATATAACTAACTAGTTAATTAAGAGGTTAACTAGTTACGTAACTAGTTAACCTCTTATTTAACTAGTTAGTTATCAGGTTAACTAGTTACGTAACTAGTTAACCTCTTATTTAACTAGTTAGTTATCAGGTTAACTAGTTACGTAACTAGTTAACCTCTTAATTTACTAGTTAGTTATCAGGTTAACTAGTTACGTAACTAGTTAATCTCTTAATTTACTAGTTAGTTATCATGTTAACTAGTTACGTAACTAGTTAACCTCTTAATTTACTAGTTAGTTATCAGGTTAACTAGTTACGTAACCAGTTAACCTCTTAATAAACTAGTTAGGTATCAGGTTAACTAGTTACGTAACTAGTTAACCTCTTAATTAACTAGTTAGTTATCAGGTTATCTGGTGGCAGAAATATGCCACCATAGTTACTAGATAAAAATATGGTGATAAAAATATCCACCGCACGATATCAAGATACATGTTTAGTTAATTGTCAGTTTCGAATTAACTATGCACAATATTAAACGTATTTCAAATATCTTTACATTTTTAAAGATATTTTTACTGTATTGCAATCTTCACTTTGCTTTAAAGTTTGATTTTTTGAAAAATTGCTTACTCTTAGGTTTAAAGCTTTAATGTTTATACTGTAAATAGGTGAAATGGAAATCCCCGTTTAAACCAGTATGACTTAAAATATACAGATTTAGTACGTGAAGATTAAAGAACTATCTGAACACATGAAATATTTTAATATCAAGATATTAGTCAACAGTGACATAAACTTGGAGTGTTAATATAGATGGATGTAAACAATTAAAAAAAATCATTAAATTAAATCAAACATAACTGACCATCCTTGACATTCTCAACATCAGATTTTAAGGTAAGTAAAATTTATAAACATACGTGAATTGAAATTTCAAGTACGTTATGACTGTTATATTTGTTGTTATATTTGATACGTGCACTTACGTTATATGCTTGTTCTGTGTTGTTGTTGTTGTTTAATGATAATAATTAATAACTCTTAGCCATCTTTGCACTTCCTTAAGTTGACAGTCAATAAAGGGGGGGGAGGATTTGAGTCATTGAGGACAAAATTCAATGCCTGCCGCGAAGGTAATTTAAGGTTAAGTAGAGAATAAACTTGAGGGCAAATTTTGAGGTAAAACAAATTCTCGAAAAATTGAGGTCAACAGATAAGATATAGTTTGGGATTTGAAAGGCAAAAACAATTTTTGGGATTTGAAAGGCAAAAGTTATTTAGGTTAGAGATGTTAAGGGCAACTATTGGGGTAAAAAGAACCTTGTGGTAAAGTTGGGCTCAGGTCTCAATTGGGGTCGATTAACTAGTAAATTTGAGGGTTTAGGCTAAAATAAGAAATTCAAAGGCAAATGTGTGGTCAATGAAGGGACATGGTGATATAAATAAGGGTTAAATAAAGAGCAAAATTTGATGTGATGAAAATTCAGGGCAACAGTTGAGATCAAGTCGGGAGTTTGAAGAGCTAATGTAGTTACGGTCAAAATGGGATTTTAAGGGTGAAACAAACTACTACGTTGTATCGTTCTTATATTTACTTACAAAACCAAATTGTCACTATCTTTTTATATTACATGTTTCGTAGTTTTTGTTAATTTATTTTCCGCATCCGCATTTTGTTCCGTAAATCAAACCAATTTACATCAAGGGAACACAATAGCGAAAAAAAATCCCTTAAGAAAGACCAAATGGCAGAAATGAAAATGCTTAAGTCTGATATATGTTATATCATACAATCTTATATATTTTGTAAAGTTCGGGAATTCCTAAAAAATAGAGATAACAGCCTGCATGTAAGCATTGAATTTTCCCCTGAATTTTGTACCTCCTTTTGTATCTTATTATTTTGTAGATATTAGATGATATAAACACGTATGAAAGATAGCAAAGTTAACGAAGAAGCCAATTGTTATATGTCATAAAACGTATCATAGTGATACAACAAAATGAGCCGAAAACCGGCAACCAAAAGGAAAAGATACGAAAGTACGAGATCTGAAGCATCAGGAATTTCTGCATTGTCCAATCTAACTCAGTCAGCAGACGATTTAAACGATACATTTGAAGCTTGTTCTCCAACTCCGAGATGTAACTGCAATAATGTTACCAAAGCGGGCTCGCGTACTGACCTCATTAATGTTGTGCAACCGCAAATTTTCTGTGATGCAAACAGAGGTGTAACTGAAAGACGTGTGTCTTTTGGTTTAAGTGATGATGAAGAAGAAACATGTATCAAAGAAATCAACAGCCAATCAAATTTTATGAATGGTAATAGGTCAAATGAAAACTTTCAATTCCAACACCAGCGGCAATGTGTGGACGTTTATGCCCAAGCGCAAATCGTTCCACAATCATTTGGAACTCCATCAAACTGTCAAAGTACAAATTGTGTATCTAAAGTGCCTAATCAGCGCCATGATACCCTGGAAAAAGAGTTGGAAATCTTACGAAGAAAACATGCGGAACAACAAAAAAAAATTGCTTTTCTGTTAGAAAAAGATAAGAGAAGAGAAAGGTTTTTGCACAAACAAGGGTGTTCTGCCAGTGTGACGTCATTACAAGCCTCTGCTATGGGGAGAGGCCAAGAAAACAATCTGCAAGAATTTGCTCATCGCAGATTACCAGCAAACATTGAAGATGAAGTTATCATGAGACACCAACATGAACGTACCTTTATTTTTCCAAACAGAAATCAATTTGGTGTGTCACAAAGACGTAGTAGGTCTTGCGACTTTCTTTTGGATCGCGAGGAAAGAGAACAGTTCCCTGTATCTTCGCCGGAAGAAAGCCCAGTTCCGGTTGAGAGTGAGAGCTCGGGCTATGAAAAAGGTGCACGGTACATATCTGATACGGATACGGAGCTTGACAGCAGTAACAACGAAGAAGATCAGTTACAAAAAGCTAAATGGTTCAACTTCCGTCGCGGCTTTGCATTACTCCTCTTGCTAAATGCAATTATTGTTACTTTAAACATAGTCGGAATACCTCTGTTTTCTTCTGTATTGAAAGACCAGCCTGAAGAGATTATCTGCATAGATTGTAGCTCTATAAACCAGAATTATGTTACTAAGTTCCGGAAATTAGACGAGAAATGTTGCCTTGACTCTGCTAGTGAGATGTTGGACCTCTTCCTAAATGTAGGTATCCACAAGTCATTAATACATACATTGATTAATAATCGTAACCAATTTTCTATCTAGCAAAGTTTACCAGAGCTAGGCAATGTAGTTTCACATGTAAGTTGCTCAGTAAATGTGTTATAAACTTGTTAGTCAAAACCTAAATGTTATATTTTGTTACAGTTAGATTATCATTGAAACATATCTAAGAGAGGTTGCTAATGAAAACCATTTAATGTTTTATTGTCATTAGGTCACTGACGAAATGTCTAAACGTCCATTACCGCCACAAGGTAAGTTAAACTAATAATTATCCTTTTTATTTCTCAAAATGTGAAGTTATTATGTTCTACTTGAAATCTATAAAAAAAATATCATGGTTTTATTGACTTTGTAGAAGTCTTAAGAACTGGTAGGTCTAGGAAATGGGCCGTGAAATTCTTTTCAAAGCTGCATGCCTCCAGATGGGCCGGAATATTTTTAAAAAATCAAACTTGAGAATATGTATTAAGATTTTGAAAATCAGTAAATGATTTACATGGTATGTGGGATTAATGACTGATTTTGCAGTATTAATCTCCATAATTTTATGCTTTACTAGGGGTATATTTGCATATTCTGACCTCTTTTTTTAAATTTAAGTGGATTAAATTGTAAGTGCCCTTTGCAATATGAAATTAAATTACTTTTTTCAATTCACAATATTTTACTTTCAAATTCATTTTTAAAATGTTCATGAAAATAAGCATGAATCTGAAGGCGTGTTAAAAGTTAAAGGTGTTAACTTATTTGAACAGAAATTAAAAATTTAACAGGAAACTATGTTCATGTGTTTCTGTACAAACTATCATTATATAGATTATAGATGTTGATCCTGTATACTTTTTTATGGAGTTCATTTATGTTTATTATGATTGAAAAAAGAACGATTTATTTTTATTGACCTACTTTTTCCAAAATGTAGGGCAACTTAATTGTTATTTACACGTGGTTTGAAACGAGTTCCTTTCAACTTCATGCGAATTGTTCTTTCTTTTCTTATTTCTAGCGCAGAGAAGTGTTGAAGAATTGCCTATGATACAGTATAAGGCACGGAAAATGTCTAAAATAGGTGTCACATATTTTTGTTTCATATAATTCTTTTCCTAATTATAGCAAAATAGTTTGTAGTAAGTAAAAAGAACAAGATTTTAAAGACTTTTTTTATTAAATTAAATGCAGCATTGCCTGCGTGTATTATAGTTTAAATTAATATTAGTTATGAAAATTTATGACTTGTTATATGGTCATCCTTAATCGGTTATATTGCAAACAACCGTTTATATATCGTCATATAACATGTCAGGAATATTTAACAAATTTATAGTACAGTAAACTTCCTTTTTTAAAAATGAAAGTGAGATTTGTGCATAAAATTACAGTAGTCGTGTATAAATTATAAATTATCCAATGAAAAGCGACGTTACAAACTTGCAGTGTTAACTTATAATATTTAATACATTGAATAAAAATGATTTCGCACTATCATTATAAGCATATTAAGGGTTGCATGGTGTATAATGTTTATTACAGGAAATGTTTCAAGGATAACTTGGCAAAAGGACAAGCAGAATCCAGTACAGAAAGGGTTTAGCCGATTGAACTATACTGACCCAAACGACCAAGGCACAATAATACGTGTACCTCAACCTGGGATTTACTTTATTTACAGTAACATTCAGTTTGTTAAAAATAACAGAGAGGGCGTGCAACATGAAACGTTCGGACATTCTATAGTAAAGCTCGGAGGCGAAGTGATGGAATCGGCAACAGAAACGTGCTTCCCTAGTAAGAATGAAATAAGACATAATTCCCATCTAAGCTTTATGCATGAATTTGATAAAAATGAAAGCCTATATGTTAAACTACACAGTACGGACCATTTTAACGCTGATGGAACTAAGTTTGGAATGTTTTTCGTCAAAAGAAATCCTTAAGTTGGTAGTGATTAATTTTGATGATCTTTCTGTAATACTAACCCTAATGAGATGAATAATGACGTCGCAGTGACAAAAATATGCTCAAAATAGGTATCCAAAAACTGCCGAATGGCCCCTGGTTATCCAACATTAGCCGATGTTAAACGATCTTTAGGGTGCATAAAACAGCAGACGATACTATGTATATATTATTTCATATTAACATTGTAATAAAACTGTTATTACAACTATATTCCTCTTTGATCTTTCAAATTATGATAGGTATAAATTATTCTGACCTAAAAATTCTTTAACATAAAGGAATTATCAATTTTGGTGCTCCTAAATACACATAATCTATATTTAATTAAAGCAGGTGGCACAAATGTATGATTTATATGGGAGTTTTTTCTGTATAATTTATTTTGGACGCCGTCCAAATGGTATATTATAGTATGAAATAGATTGCCCTTGTAGAAAATAGTGTAATGTTACATGGTTTGTGTTAATGGATACCTACCTAGCAGATAAAATTTTATAGGAAACTCAAAATAAAGCCCTAGATTAAAGTGTCGCACTAGTTATCTAAGAAATGCTGTTCGCGTGGGTTCAAAACCCTGTCAGGGCCAAGCAAGAAACTTTTAACTCATTGATAAGTACTGACGGATTCCGGTGTTTCAATAAGCTTATATCTACTAAAACAAAATATCTATAAACTAAATGAAGTCCTGGTATTGAAATACAATGGTGGCCCACTGATGACTCAGACCTTTTCATACGGTTTCACCATTATCTATTTAATATACGCCGGATGGAAAGTATACCCTTGATATCAAATATGATTTAATGGATAGTAAACAGTGACTAATATTACATAAAGAGCGAGTCCTGAATATGAGGTTCGGAGTGACATACGCACTTTATCAAAAATGTAAAATGCAAATGAAAAGAATGAATGATGCAGGAAAAATGTGAATTTCAAAGAGAGTAAGACGATGACAATATTTATAATACTGCATCTGTTAATGGAGCATACTTGACACTATGTATTTACAAATTTGCAAAGACTTTTTAAATTCAAATTAAGTATTAAAAAAGGCAAGGGGGCATGTTAAATCAAACTATCCACATACTATCCCAAACCTCGATAAATATTTTAAAATTACTTGTCCATCTTTCAGTTTGGACAAAACTATGAATCATTTTTTAAAGATAAATGTAAAATATTTACTGACTGTCGAGCAAAATCTGACGGCTAATTTTGGTCTGCATTGACTGGCATAGATAGAAATTGTTGCCGCCGTTTGTGCAAAACCACTTGGTTTCATGAAAATTTACAACAAAATTCATTTCTTTTCATACAATTTTCTGTGGAAAGATTCGTGTCACGATTTAAACTATTAATATTTAGTTAACTTCAGATAATCAAAATGTAGCTTTTTACTGTTTACATGTATATTATTTAATATAGAGACCAAGTTTATAGGCGTTCAATAAGTCATATAATCTAAATATTATCTTTTGACCTAGTGACCTACTTATTGATTATCCCTTTTTGTTTGAAATTTTTACTCATTTGATATAGGCAAGTTCTGTTGCAAAATGTCATTTAGTTTTATCTAAATTTGTGACATTTATCTTCATATTTTCCTTTGATTTGACATTTCTTATAAAAGGTTTGTAAAATTCAGACAAAAGGTGTGACCTATAGAGTTGTTAGCAAAACTGTATTCGTAGAAGATTAAAGTTGTGATACTTTTAACGCTTACAAGGTTTAGTTTAAACATATTTATTTCAATATTTGCATATATTACATTTTATATGTACATAATTGTAACATGAAATTGAAAGGGATTAGTACGAAAGAAAACTTTTATAGTTCCTCTCCCGTACAGGGTTTGACCTAGTTACATAGATTTGACCTACATATACATGATTCTGACTGACCTTGACATATTCTTTATGCCGAAATCTTAGTGTTCGTATTTTATCACAACCGATCTAAGACGGATAGATACGTAAACAGGTAAACAGACGTGTTTTGAATATTTTACTATGATTTGATATTGTGACATAGATAAACCCTTCACCTGCCGATTTTGTGTGCTTTGAATTTTGAACAGTCCATTCAAAGTTTCAGGGGATTCGTTTATCAAAGAGTAATGAGCCAAGATCTATATACAGGCTGGTGACTCTGATCAAGTCACAAATGTCCCAGCAGAGTTAAAGACACATGGTGCATTGTTAAAGGTCATCCTACACGACATATTAATTAAGCTAAAACATGCGATTGTCTTTAAGAGTACCGCCAAAGATTTATATGATTTTTAGAGTGACGGCTTGGCCGAGTGGTAAAAGCGTCGGACTAATAATCTAAGAATTGCCGCATTGGTTCAAAACACTTTACACTTTTTGCTTAGTACTGGTTGGTTCCAAGAACGGATTCAAAAGTGTTTCAATAAGCATATAGCTTCAAACACAATCGAACTTAAATACGTTAGCATTATAACTTATAATAACATATAAGGATAGGATCGTTTATTGTAATCTAAGATAGTTATTGTCCTTATGTGTATTGTGTCTGGCAAAAAAAAAACATATTTGACAACTTTCCTCCAAATTTTGTCCCGTCCTTGAACTGTCATAGTTAAAATTATTTCTGCTGGTCTTTTTGTGAAGAATATATTCTACATGCATTTTTTTATCTCAATAGAAAAAGGACTTAACACTTCCTTGTTTATGTTTGCTTTCGTATACCCCGAAACGCAATTCGATTAAAAAAAGCAAATAAACCTAGTTTGCATTCACCCACACGCGTGTGTGTCACCAAACCAAGGTCAATGCATTTTTTTCAAGGAACTTATTACGTTTCTAAAGATAACTTTTTCCAGGTATTCATGTTAAGTTATTGTAATTTATTGAACTAGAAAATACATGTGTAACTAATAAAGGCAATAGAAACCAACGCGTGATATGGCTTACATTATGTATAAGTTCTCAAGTGTCATATATGGCATTTATTACCTGCTGGTGAGGGACACTATTAAATTACTAGGACAAAGAAGGAAAAACGGGCATTCTGTCTTTTTTATTCCTTGATAAATAGTAAAAAAATAAGTAGTCAACTGCAAAGTCCTTGATAGTCAGATTCTGGTGTTTCAACATCATCGTCTGTACCTTGCGTAATGTTTTTGTTTGTTTGTTTGTTTGATTGTTTGTGTGTGTTTTTATATGTTTTTCCTTTTAATTTTTACATTGCAACATTTCTGTCCATTAAGGCATGATCATACGTTGTTGCCATTAATAAAGGCGTTATCATTCAGGTATAATAATTGCAATGTCTATTTGTTGTTAGAGAATTCTACACCACGAAATACTGTGGGACCTCTGTGTAGATACATTAACACTATACAACAACAGTATCATGTTTGCAATAAGTAAGAATTAAGTTGAAAAAACTAAATCTCTCCCAACAACAACGAAAAATCTTTGTCTCCAAAAGGTATTGGTGTGTAATACTGTGTTCTCACCGCCGATCAGATCAACTCGATCAAGCACGACCAAGCTATCGGGTACAGGTCTAGCTCGGTCTGCATGCGTGATCGGAGGTGGTCGGAGTGGTCTACCTTGGTCGGCATGGCTCGGGCTTCCCACCCGAATTTTTTGACATGTCAAAAAAATTCGAGTAGCGATCGAGTAGGTTAGCGGTCGAGAACCGATCGTATAGAGATCGAGCAGAAGATCTAGTTGATCGAGAATAAATCGTGTAACGATCTAGTTTGGTCGGGTATACATCTCTTACCCGATCTGTACACGATCATCTCGACTTCTACTCGAGAGTTATCCGATCTGGTCGGGTGGAAATCTGGCAACGATCGAGCAGAGGTCAAGTTAGTCAAGTTGAGATCGTGTTTGACTCGCGTATAGGTCTGGGTGATCGAGAAGAAGTCGGGATGTTGGTCGGGTTGTCGCCGAGAAGAAGTCGTAAAACATCGTGTAGGGTCGACTTGAGGAGGTCGTGTAGGAGTCTAGAATGTGCATTTAATCCAGCTTGGTCGAGCTTCATCGGGGAATTAATGTGATCGGGTCGATCGAGTTGATCTGATCGGCGGTGAGAACATAGCATAAAGGTTACACTGCAAATAAGGGTCTAAAATTGGTATCTACGTATGTATGGTATATAACACAAGACTCTATTTCTTAAGAAAATCTTTGTCTTTCCTAATGAGATTTATGTGATGTTATTAAATATCAAGGCAGATTATTTGCTTGATTTAGAAGTTACACATAGCATTATCTTATACTTTTTTTTAAAAAATCTAATAATTCCTCTCTCAAATTATATGAAAGAATTGTTAAAAGAACAGCTGCTATATATTCTAGTTGACATGTTGAATGATTCCTGGCACCATTTTTTTTCTCTTTTCATTGGTCAATGTAAATTCTTAGCCATTTTGACTCATCCAAATAACGGAGATCAAAATTTGAGATTCGAAAATTTCTTTATAACTAAGACCTTGGTAACACTTAGAATATAGTTTATAAGTAAATAGTTAAGCTACTCATTTTACATGACCTGTTTTGGCATGAAACTTAACTTTTTGCAGTTATTTACCGTGAGAAAGTAAACATGATATGTATAAAATACAAGATACAATATCAGCTGACAGCATTGTATATTGTACCCTGTAAACAAAAGTTATCAAATTACTGGATAACATTGTTTGTTACATTGAAAGTATTTATTATTCCAAATCTTTTTTTGCATAACCGATAACTATCTCCCTTTCCTGGAAGAATATCATTTTATCATTATATAATTTATCTTTTTTGAAGCGACACTCTTATCATAATATTATACAATATAATTTGCTATATATGTTCTATGGCCGTGTATAAACAATTGTTTGCTTTTTAAAGTCTGCTTACCGTTTGTTTATATAAACTGTCAAAAAGCTTTTAACCAGTGATGGACATATATACCTAAATTATCTTCTTTTTTGGACCGAGAGAGAAATATCTCAGATAAATTACTTTCAATTTAATCACCAGTAAGGCTATGTAACATCCTGTCATTCTGTGAGCAGACGTCCACTGGGCGCCTGTTCGTTTTTTTTTTCACCCAGAAATTTTAGGCACCAGATTCGCTGTATCCGTCTTTCTTTGACATACATGTATTATCATATTTGTCAGATTTATTGAGTCCAACAAAACTGATTGGGTGTTAATTCTAAATTTGGCATGTCATCTTAA